TCCCAACAGGAAGGAAGGAAGCTGAGCCTGTGGTCCCAGTTGTGTCACACTGAAAATACATAGAGATATATAGACACCTGGTTAGTTGGCTGATTGGAAAACAAATATTGAATCACATGACATTTTCCCATCACTATGGTTTCAAAAATTAATTAAGGCAATTGTAAATCTATATATACCCTAAAGATTTATTCATATAATTATATAGAATTTCAAAGCTGTAGTGAAGTGAAAGCTTATCCTGATTGTGTATGATCAGAAACTCCCATCAGCCACATGCAGTTGTTAAGATCCGTTGCAGTACTAGTTTAAACAGTACTTAATTCTAGGTAACAAGATAGACAAATTCAATCTAAAGTATGTTCTGTTACAGCAATTCATCTGTTTTTTCTTAAACAAAAAATTTCTCAGAGTGTAGGATATTTGTGGGCACTTTAAGTGTCCACTGCATAGATCAGCAGCAGCTGTGCTACCAATTGAAGATGTAGGCAGAGAGGATGAACAGTCCCAAAAAGAGGGTTAAGTCAGATGCTAAAAGGTTGTGATCAAATTAGTCCCTTCACTTCAAGCTTGATCACTGCTCAAGAATAGATTTTTCTAATAATCCCAGTAAGGAAACCATACATGGTTATACTTATATACAAGGAACAGCAATTCTTCAGGAAGCCAGGGCAGGCAAAAATCAACCATTAACATTATGTAAGGACTGCACACACCAAAAAAAAAACAAAAACAAAACAAAACAAACAAACAAACACCAAAAAAAAAAAAAACAAACCAGCAAATGAGAGAGAGAGATTATGCACATTTTTGACCAAAATTATCAGAATTACACAGGATTATTGATTATATGTTAATGTTCTTGGTATTTACAGGAGAGTCACAGCAAACAACCTACACCATCACTGTTCCATATACTCTCAAAAAATAAGATGCAGTAGTATAGAAGTAACCAGAAAGCAGTTATTTAATGAATACTATTAAAAAAAAAGTTACAGTGTCTTGTATTCTACTAGTGGTTATTTTCTAGCCATTCTTTAAATATGTGTTGTTACACAGAATTACTAAAGGTTCCATTGATCAAAAGGTACAAGAACCCTTCTTTCTGTCACTCATTGAAATTCAGCCCAAGAGAACAGCTACCAGTAGTTATCCAGATGAAATTCTTAGGGAGTCCGGTATGCGCACAATGACTTTAGTCCCTTTTCTATATTTTTCTCAGAAAGTATCAATTTTAAATGGCTTCATTATATCGCACAAGCAAGCCTTTCAGAGTGGCATGGAAGGAGCGTTTGCTGGTATTGCTTTGAATCTCAGTACCTTGTTTTTAATGATAAACATACACTAAAACCTAAGAGGGACATGTTTGCAGGACACTGTCAGCTTCCTGTTACAGCCGCAAGACATTTCCAACATGTAAGAAGAATCATTCCCAAGCAATGAAATTACTTCAGGGGCATTTGCTCACTGGGCAACTTTTGATGCCTTCTTGGACTTTGGCGCGTTATATTGAGAACATTCCAGTTGACCCCATGAATAGGGACTGCTGGGTAGCTGGGTCAAAATGAGAAGCAGGCTGTAATGCAGGAAGGAGGCTCAGGCAATGAAAGCAGTACCATTGCATTTTATGCACTCATTTCTCCCTGAAGATGTCACAGTTTGAAAGTTTTCTTTGTGACTGAAACAAATAAAATCTTTGGGGGTTTTCTGAGTACTTATACAGCACAACATGAGCAACAGGGGGAAACTACATGTAATGCATTTCTCTCCTCCATTTCTAGCTCTGATCGGGAAATGAAGGGAAAGAAACCTTGGAAGATGTACTGGATGCTTTAGGATTTTTCTTCCCCTGAAATCATCATTTCAGGGTTTCACTCCCTGCCTCTAGAAGTATTTTCAGGCAGGTTTTCCTCCTGCACACACATTGTGACTTTGAACAGTGCCTTGATTAATCATTTGATTTCTCTTTTCCTTCCCCCAGAACTGAAATAGATCTCAGTGTCTACACAAAGGGCAGCACTGTTCCATGCAGTGCAGCCTGTAAAAAACGCACGAAACTTTACCATGTCATCTTTTATAAAAATGTTTAGAAACATTGCCTCTTTACTGGCCTGCTGCCTTCTGCTCTAAGCAGAGCTGAGAGTTTGCACATCCTGTTGTCATGGCCAGTGCTTATGCTGACATGGTCTGAACAGCTACTGCACAAATCCCGAATACAACATTTTATTAAACCATGCGATTATCACCATAATCCCATATTAGGGCCTGAGGAACCTCACTCTGATAGTAGGGTGTATTTTCAGTTCAAAGCCTGCAGCCAGGAGATTATTAAATCCCCCAGCTGTGAGAAAAATTTCCCATTCCAGAGTCAAACCTGTGAGAAAACACACAGCTCTCTCAGCCCCCTCTTTAGGATGGAATCAAATAATTTACTCCACATTTTCAGGCTGATATAATTAATTCCCTTCAACCCCCTGAATCCACTAACATGAGGTTTTGCATCTTCCTCAAGTACATTTCAAAAAATACATGCTCAGAGAAATGAAATAAACAGCAGCATCACAACAGGGAACTACGTATACTTCCAGAGGTCCCGTGTCTCTTATCACACATACCACTGTGCCACATTGTAAATTAAGGTCTTGGAGAAAATGTAATTTCTCTTTGCAGGGGTATAAAACCTGTATCCACAGCACATAAAAAAATAAAATTCCAAGACTATTGAGAGTAGGAAGTAACAAAGCAACACTTATCTTATTTCAGATTCCACAAGGCAATGATGTTAATATTAATGAGCCAAGAAAACCCTTGCCACTCATTTTCAAATGTTCACTCGTGTTCTACACTCTGCACCAGATGCTTCAGCAACTTGCAGGTTCAAATACTGCAAGGGACGCAAGGTTACTTGGGGCTAAAAGCAAAGAAATAATGTAGTGCTTTAATCACAGACCATCCCTAAATGGAAGCCATAAATTAAGTATCTATACCTATATTACAGTCTTTCTTTAGAAATGTTATCTTTTTTATCAAATGATCATTTCAAGTCTAAGTAGATTTATCAGTGTCTACAGGTGTTTTAGTCTATTGGTGTATACTTACTGGTAGTTTGATGGACTGTGTTCTACAGCAGTAATAAAAAATACTCATCCATAGCTCTGAAATCCTCAGCAGTGAGTCCTAAGTTCAGTTTCCATAGAACTTATTGACTGGATTTTTTTCTTTTTGTGATTTAATGCACTATGGCTATTTTATGCTAAATTTATCTTTCCCATGTGAGGCTCATAAACCAAAGACCAGACGAAAGAATGATGATAAACTATGCCATCATAGGTAAATGTAAAAGAATATAAATTAAACATACACCTCTGTCCAATATTTAGATGCCTCTATTGGAGTTCCTTGATCGTAGCAATAACTGTTCTCCAAAATCCCCTCATTATCTCCCTCGGTTCATTTGTTGATCTGCTTTAAAGACCTTACACTTAGTTTCAGTTTGGCTTCCAAATATCCACACAAAAGAGTGTGTGAGTATAGTGACTGACATCACTGAAATACACAAAATATTGTCAAATTTTGACACCTGGTTTTTTTGGGAAGTGGTTTCTGACAAATTCAGCAGCAGCAGTGAGATGAGATGCAGCAGCAGTGTGGAGGAAGCAACTGAAGCAAACTGCTTTCCAACCCCATGAACTGGCAACTCTGTCACACAGCACAAAGAGGAGACATGAACAGTCCCTTGGGACTCCCACTAATTCCATGTAAACATTTGCCATCAAATCACTTCTGAATATTCTAAAGAGAAGGCTGATTCACTGTATATATTTTTTTATATTATGAAACTTTGTGTCTTCCAGAGATGTCACTGATTTTCAACTATTATACAAGGTAGGTATGAAACAAATTATACATTATGCCATGCCAATCTAAAAGCCAAGCAATACTGGACTTGAGCATCATGCAGATGAAATTTGATGAAAATTTGCAGTAACTATGTAGCTGATAAAAATCAAGATATAGTTTCTGATTACCAAGCCCATGAATTTGGTTTTATTGTTACATTATGTTACTGACTGAGATCCTTTCTGGTGTGTTTGGCCTCTGCCAGAGAGTCCCATTACTTTGCTTTATGATGTTAATGACATTAGCAATAATTTTAAAAAGGCAAATCCTGGCTAACACAGAGCCATCTTGAGTTTGTTTTGTGGCTGTGCGTCTAGAAATGTTTGCTACAATTACTCATGTAGCTGGGGCAGCTACATGAGTAATTATATGCAACATATTTTGCTGGTTTGGGAATTGTGAGCTATTTTGGACAAGCCAGACAGGCCTTTTGAATAAGTGGCTTTAGTGTCTTACTTGGTAGATAACAATAGTGGCTAAATGATTAAGTGCACGAGATGGCAAAAATAACAAGTCGGTACTAATTATCAAATTTTTATGGTGTCATAGAATAATGATGGCACACAGCTTCCGCAAGAGGAAATGATCCAGCTTTGCTAATAAATTGAAATGCCAAGCTCCAAATTTGCTTGTTTGATTGGGCTGGCGCTCTTCCCTCAGAGACTAGAAAAAGCTCCCATAAGCTTTCATTGGCCTAAATCAGAAACATCTGTTAAAAGCATGAATCACTCATTGGTTGAGATCAACAGTCAGAAAACTTTCACAAGGGCAGATTTTTTCCTCTCAGGTAGGTGACAAGTCAGCCATGTGCCATCATTACTCCTCATGTCAATCTATACGTATATTTCATTGACTTGCTAACTCAGCCCGAGCCTGCTTCTTTCTTTGATATCTTCTTCATGATATTATACAATTAAATCCTACACATTTCTGTCTTCCTTCAAACCACTACTTTATTACTCTTCACAATAGCATACAAATGCATTAAAAGTTCCAGAAAGCTAAGGGAAAAACCAGTCTTACAATCCTTCAGAGTAAGTGAAATACATTGGAAACAAACTTAAACATAATTTTTTTTTCCATCTCGTGTTCTCTTTTAGACACAGAGATTTGATTTAGAGCATTCGGTGAAACGACTTCTAGCTGATGCATGCTACAGACTTCACAGGATCCACATGATTGCTGGTTCTGAGGAAAAAACAAGGCCCCATCTATAGGTATCGTTTACACCCCACTGAAAATAAGCACAAATATAGAGGACTATTCAGCGCGTAACTGTGAAGGGTCCATGTTAGGGTATGTTTGGCCCGCTGTGCTAGTTGCATCCAAACCTCCACACCCACACTCCTGCTGGCACTGCTCCATCTCCCCATTTAGTATAGCTCTGCCTCTTTCTCTCTAATAGACTCTGGCATATTCTCCAATCCCACTATTTCTAATCCTGACATCTCTTTGCCAAATTGTGGAGGCAGCTTGGGGAAAAGGAAAACCAAAACAAAGCAACCATCATCTTCAGCTGAAACTCACCCGCCTGCGTGGCTGCCTTCCAACATGTCTGCCAATGGCTGGCTGCTACAGGAGCTACTGCAGGAGTTGGAAACTTGAGGGGAAGGAGGAAAAAATACACAACAGGCACAGAAATGAATGTTAGTGGCTTCAAAAGCAACAGCCATCTGTTTTCCTTACTGCCTGGCAGCATGAGGAGCTCCCTGCAGTGAGGATAGAGATTTGGCAGGTTTCCGTAACCCTGTTGAGCTTTTACTGTCCCTACCAGCATCCCCTGCTGCTTCTCTCCACACCCTCAGACCAATTATACTTTGACTTTTTCCTGCAGCAGCAGTGCCTACACAACCTTGTACTCACAAGCGCTTTAATTACCAACACCTAGTCGAAACCAGCAAAGTTCAACTACCACTTAAGCATGACATTCCTAAATTTGGAATTAATATGATTTTGCGGCCACGTTGCATCCAAATCATAGGAAAACTGGTTTTAAAATGTAGGTGAGGCAGAGTTTACAACTCAGAAAAAGAACTTGATTTAGTTTTGTGATAACATGATCCATCCTATATCACCGAGATGTCAAGAAAAATTGTGTTATATTTTTCCTCTGTGATTCGCATTTCAGTTTTTATTTGCATAATGCTGCTTTCCATGCAGAAGGTTGCCAAGAAAACAGAGCATGAAACCTGTCACAGAAATGCAAAAAAGAGGATTCAGGGGCTTTATTTTCAAGTAGATCTGAACCGATTTCAATGTATTTCATTGCCATAAAAATCAAAATAGAAATGTTCTTAGTGTTTACATTTATTATTAATATTTCTCTTAATTGTGTGCCAATTCTACGGAAAGCAGAACATACATTAGGCACGGTAACAAAACCAGCTACCCACAACCACAATCTTCCCTTGACATAGCAGCTTTTTAGTACAGTTCTTCAAGGCTGTTTCTGTTCTCAGTTATCACAGCTTTAATATAACTTACAATCGCTTCCTAGAGACTTAGTTATCCGGATTTTACAGAGCGTTATCTGCTTTAGGGAAAACCAGAATGCTGCATACAGTAATCTGTCGTGCAAGAGCAAGAGCAGCTGGTGTAGCTTACATAAAGTGGCAAATAGCCCAATGCAATAAAATGTAAGCATGTTCATAGCAAGAGCAACTATTGGCCTAGAACAGATGCCAGAATATGTTTCTGTTTGGATCACAAATAAAATTATCTGTTTATCTTCTGTCATTATGAAGATAAAACAACAGGATGCCATTTCCTTAAATTTGGGGGTGACAGATTATCTTCAAAATTTAGCTTTTCTTTTTTTCTTTTTTTGTTTTACATATAGTTAGTGCTCCCAGTTACAAGATCTGGGTTATCACATAGATCTAAGCAAGCTGAAATCCAATTGGTTAATTTATCTATCAGTCACCTTATCACCTTAACTGTGGCTTTGGGGGGAGGGTTGTTTGTTTCTTTTGGGGTGGGGTTTTTATTCTGTTCTGGGGGTTTTTTACATAAAAGCAGAACTAGCTAAGTGGAACATGGAATCAGTAAGGGGTATTTGTGGTTTTGTTTTTTGGTTTTGGGCTTGTTTTTTTAAAGGAAGGAGATTTTCTATTCAAACATTTAGTCCCTGTCTCACACAGTTTATTCTTTTTCTGCTAGTTGTACTGCAATAACATTAACCACCAGGTGTACTTGTATCACAGATGACTAAATGCTCTGCCTGTGTATTACCAAAAACACATTGGAAGAAGGCTGGAACTAGTCTGCATCCTAGCTTCAAACACGTAGTAACTGATAGTACAGCAAAGATTTCTGTGATAGGGACGAGAGACAAGATGAGACCTGCTTAAGACTTCTGAAGCTATTGAAATACAGACTAAAAATAGTAGCAGTGATCTCCATCACATCAGGACCCATCCTGTCCATGGGCTTAGCAGCAATTTTATCACTAACTGACGAGGGGGCAGTCTGATGCGCTGTTTTCCATATGACTCCATCAGAAAGATGACCTTATGAAGACTCTAGATGCTGTTGTAAGAGCTCAGTAGTTCCTCCTGTTGGGAAGGCATTTATAAATCCCCTTTAAGGCTGTATTTTCTCTCTTTTATCTTTTTTTAAAACTACATTCACTTAGGTTCTGCAAGAGTATCGGGTCCCCACTTTCTACTCAAAGGGCCCTGCCAGAAATGTTTAGTGTTTCAAAGAATTAGTCCCTTAGAAGTCTTTGTTTCCTTGTCATTGAAAGCAACACAAACTGTGGGCCCACAAATGCATGTAGCCAGAGTTTTCAATCAACTCTGCCTGTAAGCCACTGACAAGTTATTTGCTGAGGAGTGCAATCCCTCCACAGGTCAATATTAACAGGTATGAGATAGGAAGGATCTAGGGAAAGCAAAGTGGCTGCTTTGGTTCATTTTCTCCATCTTTTTGTGGGCAAAATTGTAACGGTACTAAAATGTAACCTTTTACATAGTGGTAACAGCAGCAGCATGGCTTAACTATATGTGACAGCCACAGTGACTCTTCATGCAATATGTTTAATGATCTGTGTTTAATGAGAGCTGAGACACTTCCTGGACACTGTCCAGAACAGTTCTCCTCTGAGGCTACAGTCACACATTTAGTGCAAGAAGAAACTCGAGAGGAAGTATTTTCTTACTCTTTCTGCTGTGACTGTGAACGCATCCAATGTGAAATGAATGTTGGAATGACACTGTGAAAAATAAAAAAATAAAAGCACAGCAAAGGGAGCCACCCCTTTCTTCTGGATTAACCCAGCTTCCTAGCAATGATAGTTTTAATATTGCTATTAATAAAGCCTTTCATTTTTCTTGTAAGGTCATATGCCTTCCATGAATAAATTCCCATTTCAGTGTCACAAGTGAGTAGGATTTGGCATGTAATGTTTACGTCCTTCTATCTTCCCTGCCCACAACTTCCTAGTCAAAAAGTTCTTATCATAAGAAATCTACAAGAACCCATGAGTGGATTGAAAAAAAGCAGCATAAAAAGCAGCAAATCAGTCCTACTGTTAGTATCTCCATGGTGCCACCAAGTCACTGGGAAGTGAAAGGTGCTTAAAAGAAGAAACTCACTCTGCAGAGAACACAGTTGTGTTGTTTTTTTTAATTATTCCACAGCTGTGAGTCCAGCACATTTGGACCTCCCCCAGCTGTACATACGAACACCTGCAAAGCACATCAGAGCCCATGGACAGAAAGTCATACTTCCCAAACAAAAAAAGAGGGAAACACACAATTTACCATGAACATTATGGTCTAGGTTGTGCTTTAGAGGCTTAGCCCTTTCTCAGTTGACAAGAGGAATGAGTTGTTCCACTGGTATTTTGGCATTTTAGCACAAATACCTCCCGGGAGCTAAAAAGCATTTCCTGTAGCAGCAACTACCTGGCGGGTTCAGTGAGTGCAGCTTGAACTTGGCACTCACTAGCAGAACTAGCACATCCTGCTGCAAAGGAATTAGGTTTGGGACTTGATACCTATCACCCTCAGCAGGCTCAGAGCTTGTCGTGTTGCCCTTTTCATGACTCTTATGTCATGAATCCAGTGTAAATTTGACCTTGCTTAGGAAGATCATTAGTCCCAGAAGAGACTCTGCTCCACAGAACAGAAATGGAAGAAAACATTCTTTGAACTCTCTCTCTATCCTGAAACATTAGAATTACTAATAGAGTTCCCAGCTGCTATGATAGTTTGCATAATATGAACACCTGCCTGCAGCAATGACACAACCAAAGTAATTGACATTTGGCCACTATACAGCTAGAAATTACTTTTCAGCACTACAGAACCAGGCCAATTACAAACAGGTAAGCTATAGCTAAAAGATAGGGTAATCCTGTTCTGCTCTGGCAGCCATCTAGACCACTGGATGCATACATGTTTTTTAAATGGTCACTCTAGCTCTGCATTAAAGGTTTGTTTGAAGCCAATAGCTCATTGCCCTAAGAAACTGCATTCCTTATGGGTTAATATTTCACTTGACAGGAATCCTTTCTGGCCAGAGATCAACTATGCAAACAGGTTTGTATCTCATTGTTTCCAGGAACAAAAGTTTTTCAAACCCTTCTCAAACACAGCTGAATCAAAATATATACTCCCCAATTCTCTTCCTTCTATTTAAATCCATAATTCCAGGTGTACTCTTTTCTGTAAGAATAGCATGCTTCTTTACATTAGTTACATATTATTGAGGTACAGTGTATTTATATTAATAACGAGTTGCATATACCATAAAAACATACAGTTTTGGAGCTCACACATAAAAAAAATATTAGAGTGATTAGTCTCACAAGGACATTCAGCACAACAAATCCCTTTCTTTTCCATTTGGGACTATCTAGCATTACTGTGTCTAAGCTCATGCCAGGAAATGTGTCTTCATGCTACATCTATTATTGTTATCTCCTCTGAGTAACATACAAGACAAATATACAACAAAAATATCGCATACTACATTACATAATCTTCTATTCCTGTCCTACAACACATTGGTCACTACCAAAGAGCTTGACCTTTCTTCTAAAAGCTTTTATATCAGTAGCTGCTGCTTATGTCTTACTTTACATATGGTGGGCAATGAAACAGTTTGGATTTTATGCTCCCACTTTCATGTTCTACTTTTGTCTCCCTGGAGGCTACTACAAGGAAGTGCACCAGAAATTTGGGAATTAAGATGGAAACAGGAAGACTGGGGA